TTCCATGTTGTACGAGTCACTTAGATTTTACAAATACGTGAGCCGTTCACAGCCTGGCACACGTATTTGTAAAATCTAAGTGACTCGTACAACATGGAATTTATATAAAACGGAATTATCAATAGTGTTATAGGGGGGTCAGCTGGTATTATTATAACTTATATATAGACTATATTAATTAATAACTTATATATTTTAACAAGAATTTTAATTTAACATTTGAATTGCAAATTGCAATTAAAATTCCAGGTTATTAAAAGAAAAAAGTTTATGTATTAGTGAATTTTAATAGAAATATTTTATTTCAGGTATCGGATATGCTATGATTATAGCAGCAGCATTGGTCGCCATTTACTATAATATGATTATAGCTTATACAATAAATTATCTGTTTGATTCATTCCGAAGCGATATGCAATGGCAATATTGTCATCACGACTTCAACACTGAAAGTAAGTGCTAAAATTAAACATTTTTATATCATTATTTAATATTTTGGCTTTAATATAGCGTATGTACACTAACAGACCCATAGAATTCTAAATAATGGTACATCATTATGAATTTCAGCAAGATCAATACTTGATGAAATCTCGGTTAATCTGCAGAATTTACGATTTCGTGACCGAAAAAAATTAAAGTTTACAAATCATTTCCAATTACCGTTAAACCTCTGAACAACGGCCACTGACGGCAATGTAAAAACTGGCCGTTGTTTGGAGGTTGTTTTTTTGTTTAAGAAACAAAAAACCGCCCCTGAAAAAATGACTGCTGTTTAACGTTAGCTGTTATTGGAAGTTCGACTTAATTTTATTCATGAACAGTAAGTATATTTATTTTCAAGATGTGTGTACGACAGGTGTGCGTAACTTGAAATCCCCAATCTGCCCTGAGAAACATCCATATTCTCAAAATCCCGGATACGCCGCTGTTTCCAGGAATTGTTCGTTGATAGTCTATCCCGTATATGTCAGGCCCATTTATAGGTCTGACTGAATCCATGATGGATATAATTAAATAGGTCTTTTTAGCAGGGCTGTTGAATCATATTCGTGGAGTTTTGGTGTTTTAGTCGGTTTTTGACCGATCGCTACACATTCCCTCTGTTATACCTTGTATATAACAGCCGAGAAAATAAAAATTATCTAATACTGTACAGTACATACCGGTATTTATATATTGATTGTGTCATTACTTAGAATAGTTTTTTTTAAAGTCTTTCCGCCCTGTGGGCACTAAGAGGGCTTATTTTTGCAAGCCCATTATGGGTTCGGCCAGGCCCACAATGGGGCAGCCGGGTGGTGAGGGACGGGGCCCGACATATCCGAACGGACTACCCCTCGAAAACATTCCCTGGGATTATATGAAAAAGTGTATACAGTGGAACCTGACTTAACGAGTAATTCTCATAACTATTAAAGCAAATTGTGGAAAATGACTTGATTAACGAGCAACGTTTCGCATAACGAGTGACCATAAGAGGAAAAGTCCCTTCTGATCATACATTTTTCCAAATTTTGTTCAATCGTAAAATATTTGAGTATTTTTTGGCACGGAACGCATTTATCGTATTTTACATTAATTTATATGGAAAAAATTGTTTCTCTTAACGAGTATTTCGCATTACGAGTAAGATTCTGAAAGGATTTATGCTCGTTAAGCGAGGTTCCACTGTACTTTATTTCTTATCCATTTTAACTGCCGTTTATAAACTATTTTTATCTTTGAATCATTTCAGCCAAAGACTATAAATCGTACTTTATAATTAATAAGCTGTAATTATAGTCTTGTTCTTCAGTAAGATTTCTTCACTCGATTTTTCTTCAGTTGCTAGAAAATATTTAAAATGTTGAATAAATCCCATAAATATTTTCCAATAATTTTCATAGAGATGATTTTTAAATAGATAATATACCTTTATAATAACCAATCATCGCTACAGTAAAAAGTACAAAACCTACTACAGTACTTTTTATTAGATTTGAAAAAATTCCAATAAATTATTAACTTTTTTAATGTTATTCGCAGATTGTTTTAACGATTTGGATTATAAGTCCTGCAAAAGTAATGACAATTCCAGTGTCTTCTTCAATCGAACCTGTTTCAATGGAACGTATGCTGCTTTAATGAATATCACCGAGGCAAACGAAACTTTAAGAGTGGCTCCTGCTCAAGAATATCTTAAGTAAATTATTTTTACTTGTAAATAACAAAATAAATTTCGGATTATTGTTGTTTATTTAATTAAATTCTTGAATTTTGATTCCTGAAAAGCTATGCTAAAGCTAACTCGAATTTTTAAAATATTATTATAGTAATAGTGCGCAAAATAATACTATTATTTGGCGCCATATTTCCTCCTGTAGGCGCATTTTAGAACTAAAAATTTTTTTTAGAATCTTTTTATCTACAACATAAATACCTGGCAAGTTCGATAACATTTCAGAATCATAATCACTTGGTATTTAACTACAAAATTATTTTTTAATGATAGACAATAAAATTTACTATAACATCTACTTGACATTATCATGGCGAAGTATATAAAATTATTTCAGTTTTTTTAACATAGAAAACAAGAAAATTATATTCATATTATCTTTAGAAAAAAGAATTATTGTTTCTTTTGATTTTGCTAATTTTATATTTATTTAAGAGAGAATATTTAAAATAAAACCATTTAATAATTTCTTTTTATTTTAGTAACTATATTTTGGATCGATCAGAAGGAATTGAAAATATGGGATACATTAAATGGCAATTGCTGGTCAGCTTGCTTGTTGCTTGGATTATTGTTGTAATTTGTCTCATTAAGGGAATTAAAACATCAGGAAAAGTAAAACTTTTACTGGTTTACTTCTTTATTTTAGTTTTTCCTCAGTTATGATAAATTACTTTTTTCAGGTTGTATACTTCACTGCAACATTCCCGTATGTTATATTGATCATCTTATTCATAAGAGGCATTACATTAGAAGGAGCAGTTGACGGAATTATCTTTTTCATAAAGCCTGATTTTCAAAAACTAGGTGATATTCAGGTAATTTATTTTTTAAAATTTATATTCTTTTTTAATGTTATATCGTATCGTATTAATTATTTATGAAAACTATTTGAGCCACTGTAGACTGTTTATTATTGTAATTACTGCAATTTCAATAGTAACTTGAAAACTTTTTAAAATAATTTCAATAATTTTAATGTTTAATTAATGAAGAAATGCAAATTATATGCAAAAATTTGATATAAAAAATGTCAAAAAATATATTTCACTTCATTCCAAAGGAGTTTTCTTAAATTATTAATAAAAATTATACGAGTATTTAATATTATTTATTATAAGAGTATTTAAATATATTTTAATTACTCTTATAATATTTTTTTTATATTTCCTTGCATTTGGAATATTTTTACTTGAAATGCTATTTTTTCTAACGTTGATGCGTAATGGTTAGATTTGGGACTCTATTTGGACACTTAAATAAACATTTAAAAAATAATTTTATATTAGAAAAATATAGATACTAATATATTCAAATTAAAAACAAGTATTATATTTTTATATATAATGAAAAAGTAGGTAAAATAAATTATAAAATTTTGAATACAGTATCATAACTTCATGGTCTTTTCAATTGATTACACTTATAGAAATGGCTTTGGTATACTGTACTTTCATAAGAGTTACATAATGACAATCACTAAATTCTTTCGGGTGCTTCAACATTTTTACTTTTCCTGCTGTTATATAATAAAGGGAATGTATGGTGATCGGTCAAAAAATGATCCCACAAGAGGACCTTGGAACGTCGAGATATCAAAAAAGTTGTTTTTTTCTGTACGTCTGGATGTTTATGTGTGGGGGAGATTGATTTTCCCCTCATTTTTAAGCTTAATAACTCCTGTGATTTTTGTCGAACATTTCTAAAATTTTACAAGGGAGTTTGTGCGTTAGGGATATTGACGTTATTAAATTTTGGTGTGAAAGGTCACGGGAGTGGAGATATAGAGTGGATGTGTCATATTTAGAGTGGTGTCAGACTAAATGAAGATTTTACTCGTTATTAGAATTTACAATTTTTTTTTTTTTTTCATATAACTCATTTCTATCTTCAAAATTAAGCTTTTATCCATCTTATAATAATAATAAATTATATGAAAAGTTTTTAAATGAAATATTATAACATATTGCGCCACACTCAATTTTACCTTTCTTGCCAGGAAACTTACACAACTCGTTGCTGGATTTTTTAAAGTTTCCATCTGCATTTTCTTCACTGTTTTTAAACACCACGTTTTCATTCATGTACATTTACAAAATGCACCATTTACAACCTTTTATCTTTTTCAATTCTGTTCAACAAAAAAGATCAAGAGAAAAACTTCAGAGAGCGATTCTCCTATTTTTGCAAAATCAGACTAATGTAAAGAGATCATACACATAATTCCTTCCTTTCAAAGTTTTTGATCTTACCTCGCTCTGTCTATCAAGAGTCTTTATAATGGCTTCATCACAGAATCTGCCTTGTATACAATGGAAGCAGCTAGATGGGGTGAGAGACAAAAATCTGGGCTAAACCACTTATAGAGATTTCTGAGAAATCAACTCGGACTCGAATCCCGGTCCTCCAGAACTGTATGCTGAAGCCTTAAATTAATCGCCTCGACCATACAGTCATCATTAGAAAGTGGTTAGCATTTAGAAGAAAATGAGATTAGAAAACTGATTATAATCATTTTTAAAATTTATATAGGGGAGACCGGGGCAAGTTTGTCAAGCGCTTTTTTTAAAAAACAAATTAAAAGGAGACTTTGGTTATAGGTTAGGCAGTTGAGTTTTATTGGTGGCTTGTTGAGTGTAGTGTTTTTATTGTTCTCCAACAAGCGTAGTTGAATTATCAAGCAAATTTTCATTTTCGTTCAATTCCATATAATATTTTNGCCGCTATTCAAGTTTTCTATTCATTTAGTATAGCTGGAGGCGGAATGATAACTTACGCCAGTTACAACAAATTTAATAATAATTTAATTAAGTAAGAATATATTTTAATTAGTTAATAATTATATTCATATTTTAAACAATTTTAATTAATTACATTTATTTATGTTATACTTTTTTTCTAGAGACGTACTTATTATAGGTTTCGGTGATATGTTGACGAGTCTGTTTAGTGGTTTTGTAGTATTTTCCATGATTGGTTTTATGGCAAAACAATTAGGAAAAAATGTGGATTCAGTTGTCCAATCGGGTAAATAAAACTTAATTCATTTATATATTATTCATTTATTTATTTATTTAGTTATTTGGCATGAAAATCGATTTAAATTTTTAAACTTTCAGGAACGGGATTGGCTTTTATTGTTTATCCGGATGGAATAACAAGAATGCCTGTTTCCACATTATGGGCAATTCTGTTTTTCTTTATGCTGTTTCTTTTAGGAATTGATAGTCAGGTAAGATACTTTATTAAAAATATCCAGTGTTTCTCAAAGTTTTAGCTCGTGTTTACTCTTTTTGAACTTTTCATGAGCACAGACCTCTTTCGGGGCCTTTAGTCTCGAGTTTTTCGTGTTACAACTCCCAACGTGTTGAAGATGTCATGTGGTGTCATGTGGTACCATCTCACACTCTGACGTCAAATCGGTAGTCTAGAGCAATGGTATTTAAACATTTTAGCAGTGCGACCCCAAAGTAATTTTCCGTGACCCATAGATTGAATAGTACTGGTATAGAGTTATAACTCACGTGCTTTCCCATCTCACCATGTGAGTTGCTACTGACGTTGTGTCGAGTATGTGAGATCTCTACACAAAAGTGAAAATGGCTGACAGATACGCTATTCTGATCGCAATGGAAGCATTAGAAAGAGCCGAAAGAGTCGTTTAAGAAGGCAACGAATTTTTCTACTACGAGTAGAGGCCATTTACTTTCATGTCAAGTCAACACTAATAAAAAAAAATTTAATTTATAATTGATAAAATCATACAGNTGAAAATATCCAGTGTTTCTCAAAGTTTTAGCTCGTGTTTACTCCTTTTGAACTTTTCATGAGCACAGATCCCTTTCGGGGCCTTTAGTCTCGAGTTTTTCGTGTTACAACTCCCAACGTGTTGAAGGTGTCATGTGGTGTCATGTGGTATCATCTCACACTCTGACGTCAAATCGGTAGTCTAGAGCAATGGTATTCAAACATTTTAGCAGTGCGACTCCAAGGTAATTTTCCGCGACCCGTAGATTGAATAGTACTGGTGTAGAGTTATAACTCACGTGCTTTCCCATCTCACCATGTGAGTTGCTACTCACGTTGTGTCGAGCATGTGAGATCTCTACACAAAAGTGAAAATGGCTGACAGATATGCTATTCTGATCGCAATAAAAGCATTAGAAAGAGCCGAAAGAGTTGTTTAAGAAGGCAACGAATTTTTCGACTACGAGTAGATGCCATTTATTTTCATGTCAAGTCAACACTAATAAAAAAAATTTTAATTTATAATTGATAAAATTATACATCAAATTTTTCCAAAAATAAAAAGAAGTATCTAATTCATCGAAAAAGAGAATTAAAATGATATTGAATTATATGTATAAATTATTAAAAGCATACACACTATATATTAAAATTATTTATTAAGTTCTGATTAATAAATAATCTTAATAAAGAAAACAATTTAAGAAATAGATCAAGGAAGAAAACTATATGAAGAAAGGATTAAATTAAAATACTTTTTCCATTACACAACAGATTTTTTAGCTCCAATATACAATTAATGTTTCAACTAATTCTCTCCACAAATCGAATTGTCTTTTCCTTGTAAATTTGTTGTCGAATTTTTCACTGTTCATTTTCTTATTATTTTCTATATATGTCACTACTATTTCTTTTTGTTCTTTTTGCTTATTTTTTTTTTTAAATAAAACATTGGAGGTTTCCATTTTGTTTCAAATTGCAATAAGACAAAACTTTTAACTATAACACGTGTAAACTAATTCACGTTGATTTGTTTACAACTTGTTACAGTAAAGTTGATTGATCAAATCAGTATAGTCGCAAACCCAGATGCATTGTAAATAATCCCATCATGCTTAACGACACACGTAAACAAGTTAATATGATTTACTTCCGCTCGCCTTTCGAGTTCACTTGATGGGTCTAACTCGAGACTAAGGACCCAGGTATGGGTAACTAGGAATAAATAATATTTTATTTAAACGTAAACATAAGAATAAACAAATGTATATTTAATATTAATATTGTAGAAAATAAAACTCATACTATATGGGATAGATGCTTATTCCTATATTTTAGACTAAAATTATTAGGAGGACTTCTGGCTTCGAGTACTTCACGACCAACTAATCCTACTTTCGCATGAAATAGAAATATCGCATGATCATATTCGTATTTCGGAACATTTCGTATAAACGTGAATATCGTAAAAAAAAGTTTATAGAGCGATGATAAATATAAGCTTATTTTTAACGAAAATATCGGCAAAACAACCATTCGAAAAATAATGAAACACAAACGTTAAGCACAGCCACCATTAAAGTGACTAGTAACTTGTTCTACTAAGTATTATTTCAATAAACCACCTCTAGGCGTCTCTCCCGACTAAGCATCTCACCCGGTTTTATCCTATAAGCAGAAGAAAAAAGGTATTTCAGAGCTTTTTCTGATAAAGTCTAATATTCCTTGCTAATTTATAATCAAAATGACTATAAATTTTACAACGACTATAATGTCTTCTTCATTGTAACAGAAAAAACCACTATCCCCTCTGAACCCTTCAGGTACCCTGGTAGGAACACGTACAGTACCAACTTTGAGAAACACTGCTCTAATTGATAAGTTAATTTTCTAATTCATATCGTAAGATACAATAATTATGGCTGTCTAATTTAAAGAAACTGTTTTAATTATTCAATTTAAAACTATGTTATTATTCAAAACCGGCATTTCATAACATACAAAACATGGATAAAATAATAAAAAATTAAATATTAAATAAATCATTAATTAAATAAGTTATATAAGGTAATCAAGTTCATTAAGTATTCGAAATTTGATTAATACTCGAATACGAGAAAAAAGTGATATTCACCCATCTCTAATATATTACTTACTGCGTATATAAATTCAAAAGTAAATATACCTGTATAACAGTTCAAATTTAAGTAGGCCTTTCCTTTAACAATTTCCGAAAAATTGTCGAATCAGTGTCATACCAGAACATTCTACTGCCTGTTAATAATAGTTTTATAATAATATAGAAATTAAATACGAATTTCGGGCAACTCACTCCTTTCTACATAAAAAAAAATTTCACGTTAAATTCGCATATTCGTACATTTTCGGCTGACAAGCAATAAATCGAGCTATTCGGTGGCACTTTCTGCTTGTTTTGGTTTCGATAGCATCAAAATAATTTGAAAAACATTAATTTTTATTGTCTTTGTTTGTTTAATGTATGGTTTTAAATGTAAAATTTAACTGTATAAAACTAAAAAAATTCTTATTACTTCTTTGGAATCGGAACTCCTTTATAACGTGCAATTCTATTGTTCGACTTTTGCACACATTTCTAAAACACACTAAGCCCGAAAGTCCAGGATTGTCTGTACATCATTAGTCTCATTACATACAGTCGTAATAGAAATTAATTCTACGTCAAAAACAACAGTAGAGGAGAAGGTGGTATTATGGAACACTGCGGGTATTATGGAACCACCCCATTTCGAACTGATAATAAAGGCGAACTGTAGCGGAATGTAGCTAAACTGAACTAGGCCGACATTCATAGCAAGGGAAAAACTCGTTTTACTTCAGTTAAACGGTTGTCCGTATTTAATCAGCAAATTTGTTTTTTTCAAAATTCACAAGTTTTGAATGCTAAATGAATTTAATTATTTTTAAAATATAAATCGTGTAGTTGTAGGTTCACTGGTGCATGCATTCTGTTCCAGAGACTTAGGGGTACATATTAATCTGTGTGATGTTCACGTTTTTTAAATTTTGGTCTTGACAGACATAAGTTAATTCGAGATGGCGATGCGTGAAATACGGACCCCTTTGGTGCTTTTACAGTAATATGGAACTCAACTCCTCCGAACTCTCTCTTTGCAATCAGACATTCTTCCAGAGCAATTTGTGAAAAAGACACTAGGTAGAAAGCCAATTCTTCCTGAGAATATCGAAAAAGAGCTGCTGGAATATATATTGTTGATGGAGGTCATATTTTTCTATTATAAAAGCATTTTTGCGATAAAATACATTGGAGTAAATAATTTTGTAATTATTTAACATTTTTTGTCCTTTCCTATTTGTTTTTGGCTACATTAAAGCATTTTTTTGAAAATATACAGTAAGGTTCCATATTACCACCCGATTTTCTCTAAGCCTACTTTCGGACTTTTTGTACAAAAGCCTTCAAAAACCATACTTATAATTACACTAGCGAAAAATCCAATTAGAAACATTTAGTTTACTAGTTACCAGTACTTTTCGCACAAAAAATGTGGGTGTAGTTATGATACCTTGTTTACAATTCACTAAAATGTAATTGGGGTTCCATAATACCACCTTCTCCTCTAGACAATCTTCAGTAATAGACAAAAATAATAGGCCTATATTATTAATGAAGATATTTATTGTTCTAAGAAAAAAAAATTAAGAGAATTTAATTTTTCATTTCTTACTGAACTTTATCATAAAATTTTTATGTAGAAATATTTTCAATTGGTTATACTTCAGTATTGAATTTTTAATAATAAAAATTCTATTTCATTTTCAAAAATGATAAAAATTCTTTAATATATAAATATACAATATAATAATTATAATACAGATTTCATACAGAGCAATGTAGTATGAGCGTGTTCGCTTGGTAAAGCAGCTTTAATGTAACTGGATAAGCAAGCCAATGCTTGGTTTCCTTATTCAGTTATATTAAAGTCATGTAACAGGCAAGTCACCCTATTATTATTATTTAGGCCTATATTTATTAATTTGAATATTTTATTAGTTGTATTGATTAGTTTGTTACAGGTTGTTAATACGAGATTAAACTACTACTATATATGATTATTTTGTTTAATTTTATGTTATTAATTTTAATTTTTTTAATTAGCATTTATTTTCATTATTTTATTTCATTTTTCCTTTTAGTTTGCTATGGTTGAAACAATTATTACTTTTATGTTTGATCAATTTCCAAAAACAAGAACCAGAAAGCCTTTAGTTGTTATTGGAATTGGAATAGTACTTTTCTTATTAGGACTACCTCTTACTACTCAAGTATGCCAAATTATTATTTAATTATAAATAAATGATTATAGTTTAATTTAAAATATTTATGATTTAAATTACTTAGCAGTTTTTAATTATAATATTCTTTATAATTACGAAATTATTATTTGTAAATAATATTTACAATTGCAGACGTATTGAACTTTTAATATACATTTTGTGTTGATGGAGAATTTGCTAATTTAAATTGTTAAAATGTAAAACTTTTTAAATTTACAAATGTTTTGTGGAGAGTTATTCATTTATATATACTGCATTTTATATAGGCTATATCATATGTATGGATTATCCATGCAATACGTTTTTAATTCCACTCTGCGAGATATGGTCTTTCTTTGTCCATAGCGGGGTCATTCAAGCCTATATTGTAAACAGCCTGATGATAAGAGACGGGCCCGATCTGGGTTAACCTAACCGTGGAAATTTCCGAGTCGAATTCTAACTCTGTTCTCTCAGAGCAGCAAGATGACGCTTTTGCCTCTTCAACTTCCATATCAAGTGAATTAGTGTTGACGGATGGCTGGCAGAGCTGATAAAGATGTTAGATTGCCGTTCTGAGAATCTGGATTCGAGTCTAGGTCGAAATCTGAAACTTGCATGGATTGCCAGGCTATCTCTCACTATTCGGTCGTCCCATAGTAGACCTAGCTAGACCTACTAGTGGTGTGAAACAGATAATTGTAATAAAGTCACAAAAACCTTTAGGAATAACATTATGCATATGAAAATAAAGTACATTTAATAGTATCAATAACATTATTACGGTGTTTAATTAATTAAACTAAGATAGTGAAATAAGTGTGAAACTGTTTCTTGCAAACATTGAAAGAAATAGTTTCACACTCTTCAAAATTTTAAACAACTCATACACGTTTAACAAGTAAGTAAAATGCTGAAAATCTGTTATTACATGTTTAAAAATACAGTGACGAATAAAATACATTTGTGAAATAAAAATTGTAAGCTATAGTAACAAACAACCAGCTTCTGCACCGCACATAAGAGATGTTCTGTTATGTGCAAGAACAGGAAAATAGTAGGCCTGTACAGGCGGAATCCATTGGTTTACGATGTCTTGCGTAACTCTAAGGACTCCATAAATACGAATAGAGCCGTGGTTATTTACGAAATACCCTTCACTCTAGGCTATGAGAATATGGTCAGTAAAAACATCGGATACACTTCTCGTAACCTACCTACACGACTTCAGGAGCACGAGTATAATGTGCAGAAGGCAACTGTAGTGTTTCCGCTAATTAATTAAAGTTCCCGTAATTTTTCCAACATTTTTGCAATACTTTCTACTTTTCTACAATCTTTCGCTTAAGGACTGTAATAATGTTATTGATACTATTAAACGATAATTATTGTAGCATTTTGAAGTTCTTAACCCAAATTGTGTAAATTAAAGGTTAATATATTTCATTAATTTAAATAAATGTAATATATATATAATATAATTCTTTTTAATAATATATTGTAAATATAATTAAAAAATTAATAGATAATTTAAATTAATCGCCTCGACCATA